CATCCTTGGAAGTCGGCTTTACCGAATTAGATGGCACTTGTCGATCTGCCGTCTTCATATAAATGCGTCGCGAGTGCAAATCTGAGAACCGTGTTGGCTACGTTACTCCTAGACCGACAATGCCCTGGTGCGTGACCAGCTGACCGCTAAATAGAAAATAGCGCCGGGGAATGAAGGACTCAGACAACAAGGACTGCGGACGTCGAAGCGAAGAAGCACATCGTGACTAGAAAATTTGTGACTTTATTTTTGTCTTCGCCTAATAAGCCCCGGACTAATTTAATCTAGCGCCTATTGTTCATTTAACCTATATAACTAATAATGCATTGTTTATCCTCATTATCGTTATAATGAGGTCCCCCTGAGTTACCACCTAGCTGCCAGCCCTACAACATTCTACATAAAAATTGTTTCTACTTCTCTAGATTCTTGATCAAGAGGCAACGCTTAATGCCTTCAGTATCTGTAATTATCGATATACTGAGGCCGCAACACGTACAATTCCCTCGTTGACCTGTAAACCGCTGCTGTTGCGTCTTCATTCACAGCCTTAACGCCATAGCTAAGCGACTACTAACCACAAAATCAGCTCATTATGGTGATAGATAGACACAATACCGAAGCCATGCCTGCATTCCTACCATGGCTGCAATGGAACCCAAATGCCTGTTTCTTCACGAGAGTATTGAGCGATGGCACCACACCAGTCTAAATCGAATTTCTCACCGTCTAGTCCCTCTATGGGATCATTCGTGACGTTGATGACGAGATTATTTCATCTGCCATAAGCAAGCAGATCACAGCGCCTCGGTTTTCAGAGGAAGGTGGCGTTCAGAAATCCTAGGCCAATGGGTTAACCAACATAATATTAATATGCTTTACCCCTATCTACGTCCAATTAGGACGTAGATGAAAATATGTATCTGTGATTACACGGTAGGTAGCCCCAAAGAATTCATATCCGTTAAGTCACGAATGAGGCGGCCCTCTGACGACTAGCATGTCTTGCCGCCCCTGAAGTTCTCCAAAAGAAAGTGGTTGCGTTGTTTCACATATTGTACTCCTCCCCATATCCCATAATCTCCTCGTCTTTTCATTCCCAGTCAACTCTCCCCATTTCAGTGTCGGAAAGAAGAATTTCCAGAGAGGAGATCCAACTGCCCAGGTGAACAGTATTAAGGAGCTGCAGTTTGATGTTTGCGCTTCTTGTGTGCCAGCTATGGTAGCGAGAAAGCCGAGCGGCGAGTGTCACTGGATCAGCAACACTCTACGCCTTGTCGTGTCTGGTGCACACTTCCTCCAAACCATCCAGTCAACCATTCATGGCACGAATTTCACTATTGGACTGATCCAATAGCGGTTTTTGAGCGGTAGGCTGCAGAACGAATATAACCCTATCCGAAAGGGCGAAAGTGGTTGTCAAGTATGTCCGCCCATCGGCGACGGTTGGCCGCAGGCTTTCGAGCATCCAGATGAAATTGGCGTCTGAGGTTATAATTTAGTCGGCCTTGTAGCTCTGGCGCACCCATAGCGTCCAAATAGCTTGTGAAACTTGGATATATTCGCAGTTCCTCTGGCCCCATATCCTGTACCTCCACGACGAGCCATGTAGACCAATGTTTCAGTTTTCGTAGAACATGAGCAAGATCGTATCCGAAGTTCTCATAGGTATAGTTGCAACTCTCCTCCCGTGCAAAATCAGGGAGAGGTGTGGTTGACACCAAGTTTTCCCAATATTCTGCTACTCGTCGGCAATCTTCAGGCCTTATGAGCTGGACCCGACCACACGTCTCTGTCCTCAATAGCTGCATTGGAAGGATAGGGATGTCTTCTATACGACCAAGTCCCAGCGCTCTCCGTATAGCCTCGACAGCGGCGTTCCCAATAATGCATCGGGCCAAGTTGGTGCTGTTGGCGACCATTCCTTCATGGGATTCCCATTTGACCTCCTTGAAACTAAGGAATTGGGGACCATCCATAGACCCGTTCTCAAAGATATCGAATCCATCGATAAGTCGAAGAAAGCCTTTATAGTCATCCGGTAGAAGGACCCCTCCGAGAGTATACTCTAAAGCGGACATGTGCATGGGTAAGGCGCGGAAACGCGCCAGCCAATCTTCACTAGAACGCCTTACCATGCGTTCATAGGAAATGCCGGTTCTGATTCTGCTTAGAAGCTCTGCCACGCGCTCCATATCCTCCTAGAAGTGCCTGCCGGGCACTTGTTGAGTTGATATCGTTTCTCCGAAAGGGCTCGGTTCAGTGAGTACAAATGATAGGGAATAATCTGATTTTCGGTAACGCTTATGGGTAAATATCTAAAGTGCGGGTCGTTCCCCTATTTAATATGGCAAGCTTCTTTAATAACATCCAGGTACTAGGGTATAAAAGCCTTGCACTTTTAGTTTCTAGATGGAACCAAACCAAGTGGTAGATCTTTAAACCTCTTTCTGCTAGGCAAAGTGCTCTGGATTAAGGGTACAATACAACCACAGTTTGAGCACTCGTTATTCTTTCAGTTATATTCACATATTTCTGTGCTTTTATACAAATATCTACTGTTGAAAGCAATAATAGTAGGTATGAAGGCCTTAACAGAAGGCCGAACTAACTTCTGACTATTAACGAGACTCCCAGCTTCTTATTCCCTTCCTTAGATCTCCCAAGGATTAAAGAGTGGCCTGCTCAAGGATACTCATTGCCTAGCTATACGCACCTACCATAATAACTTCGGCCTTAGCAATGGCTTTAAACCTGAACCTGGGTCGAATAGGCAGTAAATTACCTTTCAATTCATATTCGTTCAGTCGTTCACTTCCTCCCCTTTCATCTTACATTACCTAATATTATCAAATACATGCCTACCTACCTACCTAGATAGGTACGTAGACTCCCGCTATACTTTGGATTATATAAACAATACCTTATAGTTTCTTGTGTTATCTTAAACGAAAAAAATCAAGCGCAAATTTCATAGTTTATTTCAAATTAGTTTGGCACGAAGCCGGAATATGTAAAGATATTATTAGCTCTCCTAGTTAAAAGGCTTGAGCTATCTACCTACCGTCAGTTCAGCCTGCGTTCCAGATGCCCGTTCAAAGTAACGCGAGAGCGCCATTAAATTACGACCTAAATTATCCGAACAACTTTGCAATTCTCCCTTGAAGAGCTCTATGCCCTGTTTACGGATGTACAGACGGGTGTTGGAAAACCAGTAACCGCCAACGGTAGAGTTCTTCTTGTCTCGATGTTGATAGTCAACCAGGTCGCAAACGCCCCATGTACGATGGTATTTCTCACTCTCCGCTGGGAACTTCTCTTCTATGTCGTACTCGTAGACCATCATGTCCCGGACGCGCTTTGGACACAGCCCGACGAAGTTAGCACATCCGTCAGGAAATGGTAAGTCCCTAGATACCTGTTAGCTACGTGGAGTAGGTAGAGAACGGACGTGATGTACCAGCAACCAGGTATCTGGACCTTATTACCATCATCCTCGGTAACTTCGAACCATAGCCTGTCTTGGAATTTCCCTTCGCGGGGAATCTCTCTGGTAATAATAGCAACTGGTCGAGCGAACTCTTGGATTATACGCAGGGTTGGGCATTGGGGTGGCCCAGTCATATCGAAGAGCATGGTAGAGTCGTCAATAATTGTGAATTGTTCGTGCTTCCCGTAACTGGGGTCTAGAACAATGAATTGATGGACAGGGAGGGCTTCGAGGGCTTTCTTGTGTTCGACTCCGTATTCAGGGTCTGCGGTGTAGAGGGGAATCCGCTGGCCTGTCTTCTTCTCTAGCTGCTTGACGATTGCGATTGCGGCAATATGCTGGGCGATATTCCTGGGAAGCAGCAAGTTATTGGGGCTCACTGTATTGCGTTCTTGGTTGGGAGCGTAAGAAAGTGGTTTTAGGATGGAGCCAAGCCCTAGACACACAACCTTTGTAATACGCTCTGGCATCGGAATGTTATCTATAGCCTGTGCCACCAAGTCTGTTCTTTCGTTACCGGCTTGCCACCTTTCCCAGGCTTCCACAAGGACCTCCTGGATTTGGTCTGCTGGTACAATATCTTGTCGGATGAGCCATGATGAGCTATCTCTGGGATATTCTTTATGATACTTGGAGAGACACCTATGCGATATTAGTAACCAGCGACTACAACCACTTTACCCAAATCTTAGACAATGAAATGGAATGATCATACTGCAAGGAGAGATGATTATTATCAGTAATCCATTGGTTCGGCTTCTCCTGCTCAGGTGGACAATTTGCTGCGGCAGTCTTGCAAAGCACAAAGAAGTCATGCGAATCTTGGAATTTGTCGCCTCTGATGGTTGAAGATCCAAACATATACCAGTTGCATCTCCCAATGATCTTATTCTTCCGTTTGTCGCTGTCCGTTGGCAGACGCCGCATCTGTCTTCGGCTGAGGAATTTAGCATCGGGGCAGGTATATAAGTAGGAACCCACCCGACAGGAAGCCATGTTGTTAATCAAAGAATGAAGGTTTACTGTGAAGTTGAGGAGGAAATCGAAAGCAAGTTGGTTGCGACTAACGAGTTTGTAGCCATGTTTAAGTAGTAGCATGTTTGATTTCTGCTACTCGATTGTAAAGAGTTATCCTAGTGTTTCTGACTGGATATTGCAATCCCAAGTCAACAAGTTGCACGGATAGACATCAGTGACAACGAGAGAGACATGTTGCAAGAACGACTCGAGGACGATTTCCAAAACGATTCACGTTCGGACTGAACCCTAGAGCAAATTTGTCCACACTGCAAGCGTCACATGAGGATTTCGAGGCTCTCTATTTGTGCAAAATGCTCAGATTCAGATCTAGTAAAGGCAACCTAGGCATTCTACCAGTCATTGATACCCATCATTAGTCCTTGGTTAGACTCGACTATGTGGAAGAGCACCATCACAAGCCTTGTTATTATGTAAAACACACAGTACCATATATACTACAAATAATGAACCAACAATCACAGCCAGTAAGGCCCGGTTAGCTCAATCGGTAGAGCGTGAGACTCTTAATCTCAAGGTTGCGGGTGAGTAAAAATTCTCAACACAACTGATCCACTTGACCCTAAGCTAACAAAATCGCATAGGTTCGACCCCCGCATCGGGCTCAATTCCTGATGCTTCCCAGGGAAATGGGATTAGCAGCCTCTTTTTTCCTTTTTTTATTTCCTTTTTTTCTTCTAATATGTTGATTTTTGACAAGGGCGGTTCCGATACACCGTTCTTATGGCCTCGCTGACCGTCCTCAGGACGTAGCATCATGACATATCGAAAGTCACTAACACAGAAACTACACGCTGTTCGGAGTATGTGTGATATTTTATGTTTATCATGAATCAGAACATCCCCGTTCAAAACCTGGGCAATTCTAACGCCAAGAGATTTCAACCCCTTTTGTGCCCCGCCTTTTACCCCCTTTTCAATTCACACACACACAAGATCCAAGACCATCACAGCAAAACCAAAGTCATGTCATTACGAGATAAACTTTTATTGACCAATCTGGATCTCTATAACAACATAAACCACACATTACACTTTTATCTAGCAAATGTTTTTAATCCTCGGAAGCACAGTCACGGTGTGCTCAGTTCCTCACTCATCCCTTGTCAAGTGTGCCCCGAGCTTTTCGTGATCAGTACCTCCTAATCCAAGCGCAGACGAGAATTCCACTAAACAATAGCAAGGCAAATCCAAAAGCCAAGCCTAAACAACCCAGCAAGAATGGTCAAAACAAACCCTCAACATCTAAGCCGGCAAGGTAAGCAACCGCCCTACTTAGCAACACCAATACAAGCAAAGTACTTCTTGAAAGCCTGGACCTCCACACTGAAAACACCATCACGATCCAGCAGCGCAGCCGGGGGCCAGAACTCAGGCTCCACACGATCCAGCAGGCCCGGATACGACGTCAGGCCGCGGGGCTCGGTGACGCCCCAGGGGTTGCGCACGATGATGTACTGGTTGTCGTCCTGGCCCTCGCTGACCCAGCCCAGCACCGAGTACGCGTGGTTAGCCACCAGGTTGCTGCCGCGGAACATGTCGCCCGTCGCGTGCGTGTACGCCGCCATCGGCGAGATCGTGCGCTTGTTCACGCTGCAGCTGCGCACCAGCCCCGCTAGCTCCGACCCTGAGTGCTGCTCCGTGAAGTAGTACCGTGCTTCCCGCCCGTTGATCTGCGCCATGGCTTTGATCGGGTCGCCGTTGTGCGCTTGCGTTAGGTCCACGTGGTCGCCGTTCTGGTCCTGGTCTTGGATGCGGCGGTTGTTGTTGTTGTCGTCGCGGTTGTCGTCTCCGTCGTGGCCACCGCCACCGCCGCCGCCGCGCGTCATCCACTTGATAAACGCCTTCTCGTACAGGGCGGGCCAGGTCTCGTAGCCGTCGCTAGACCGCGCGTAGATGGGCATGTCGGTGGAGTTGTTGACGGGGATCTGGCAGTCGACCTCGACGGTATCCGTGTCGGCGTTGTTGCGGCCGCCCTTGTCGTGGAAGCGCACCGACAGCGTGCGGCGGGCGCGGTCCGTGGGGCCGCCGCCCGAGATCAGGCGGGACGAGCGGTTGATCATGGCGGGGTTGGCCCAGAAGACGGAGAAGATGGCGGCGATGAGCCAGCTGTCGGACGAGGCGCCCTGCGTCGGGTCGTCGAAGCGGTGGATGTATTGCTCGCGGAGGGCGTTGCGGTCGCTGCCGAAGCCCAGGAGAGACGACAGGGGCGACCCGCCCGTCATGAAGCGCCGCGGGATGCTGCCCAGGAACGTCTCGCTCATGTCGCGCCAGGACCCGTTGGGCGGCGTCCACTCGCGGTCCTCCTTACCCCGGCGGAAGGGCAGGGCCAGCTCGTTGATGGTCTCGGTGACGTCGTGGTTGCCGACGGTGCGGCCGAGCGACTGGCCGTCGAGGACGAGGCGCAGCTTGCCGTTCTGCATGCGCGCCATCTTGATGCGGGTGTCGCCGATCTCCTTAAGACCGATCTTCTCGAGGTCGTTGAGCTTCTTGACTCTGGACAGGTCCGGCGTCACGAGGTCGCGCTCCTCGAGGATCCGCATCTCCTTCTCCGACAACTCCTCAGCCCGGCGGTCTTGCTCGTTGAGCTTGAGGCCCGCGAAGAGCACCGAGTTGTGCTTCAGGTCGAAGAGCTCCTCGTAGTCGGTCTGCAGCACGTCCGAGATGATACGCGCCGTGGACAGGGCGTGGCGGTCCAACTTGTGGCCGATCATGGCCTCGACCAAGGCGTACGGGTTGATGGCGCCGACGTTCACGTCCTTGGGAGGCTCATCAGGAGAAGGCTCCTGGCCGAGCTTGTCGTCCCGGTCATCCCGGTCATCACGGTCGTTGTCGAGGACCTCGTAGTCTTCAGACATAGTCTTAGAAGACATCGAGCGCCTGTCGATCTTGTGGCCCGTAAGAGCCTCGAAGAGAGCATAAGCGTCAATGTTGCTATTGGCAGCCCCACGAGGGGACTCGGAGTGAGAGCCGGAAGTAACCATTTTGGCTGGTGATGATAGTATAGTATTGAGATTGTGCGGATGGATCTGTAATAAATGGTAGGTCTATGGACTGTTGTAGAAATCGCTGTCTCTCAAAGAGAATAGAACGATTCAAGGGGGACTAAGTGGCATATTTATTTCCTCTTCTTGAATATCTAAGAAGATCATTCGCTTTCAGGGGTGAAGCTTGTACTCCAGAGTCTTCATCTGTAGGTATGTTGAGATAGCTTGCTGGCTAAGACCGAGTAGTGTGCCTCATGTAGTTCCTAGCCGTAGACAGGCAGCTCCAGCACCAGTTTCTTAGACCTCGCAAATAATCTAGATTCTGATCGGGTCAAAATAGGTTATATTACGTATCTGCTGTGAGATGTGCCATTGGAACGTTGAAGTCTACAGATGAAGGCTACATTTGGAGGCTTGGCTTGATCATCACCTGTGGATTTTCTCTAGAACTTTGCCTTGTAGGTTTCCCTTTACTTCTGTTCTTAATTCATTATGTAACAATTTGTATGTGAAGTTAGCAAGAGGGGTCATCTGAAAAGGGAAACACTGGAGGAAAAGCTTGGAGCAAGTGGCTTCATACCAGTTTCGCCTCTGAAAGTGTTAGTCTCTAGGACAATCCTACCTCCATCCAGAATTAGTAGCTAGGAACTACGACTAGGAGAACACCAAGTTACCCACGGACTCCTAAAATAGCCACATCAACGGTATCCCCGGTGAACCTTATCATAAGCTTCCACGAGGGTATTGGGGCCGTCGGGATCGAGGTGAGGATGGCGAACTTTAGCTACGCGGCAATAATAGAGCATAAACTCGGCGAGGAAGTTAGCACTTCCGAGCCGAGCTAGAAATCTAGACAGCAGGGTAGAATTTAGATTATATTCCGTTAGTAGGGTTGTTTGCCGTATCCCCCTCATGGTATACGGAGGATCAAAAGATAGGTGATGCTTTCTATCAGGGCCGAGAAACTGGGATGATCTTTCCGGAATCCCCTTGCTTGATTGATAATTTAAAGGGGTGATATTGACTATGTCATTTGATCTAAGTCATTCTAAAAAGTAGCTGAGGTAGGTAAATTAGAGCTCAGGATGATACAGCTGAAGCATTCCACTATCCTCTCCTTTTCAATCATGGTTATTTCATTAGTGTCTAACTGGATACCACCGGTAGAAACAATATGGGATAAGTCATCTAATGAACCAATTCGATACCGAAAAATGCCTAAACGATACGAGAGAGTGTGAGCTGGCTTTACAATACTAGGTACTCCTGTGCGTTAAGCCTGACGGATACCTGAACCATCAGGGTGAGTTGTTCAAGGGGGCTCAGTTCCTTACCTACCTCTGAAGCTGGATCTCAGCTATTCCGATTCAAGATAGATAGGCTACTATTGCAAATAAATTATAGTGCTGATTACTGAAATACGTGCTATCCCGCAACAGAGCCAGCTCACATCGTGTTGTTATTGGCCGTCTTCCTCTATAGGTGTACTGAATAGTATGTGGTCTTGATGTGTGAGCCGATGAGTTTGTGTAACAATAAATAGGGATGAGATTAAGGACAAAAGAGGTCCGAGTATTTATGCTCCTAATTGACCTCTTGACTTATGCAAATTTGTCACACCTCAGGCTCCTAGTGTCTCCTGCATATATTAAATCAAATTCTAGCACCATCAATATCCTACCTTGGATATCCAATTCTAACAAGCGACGCCAAGGGCATGCTTAAAGACCCCAAGCCGTGTATGAGAATCACAGTAAACCGATTTCTCTTCAAGGGATATAGGGGTATGCCGGCTAATAAGGCAACAAGATCACGAGTGCACAAAAATCATCTCAATAATACCCGTGCCGTGTTGTCTTGTAATAGCAGCTTAACTTAGCCGCTGATGATTATCTCTATCCTACGGCGAACATGGCGCGATAGCCCTATATCCGCTAGCGGGGACAGTATGTACACCGGGTAGTCTCCAGCAGGTCTACTCATTCTGAACTAGACAGTGGGACAACGGTCGGTCATAGCGAGCGCATACTTAAGCAGCCTCTCTAATCCACCCAACACACAGGGGTGATTGGGGATTGGTAGGTGGTGAAAATGGGGAGGGATATCAGACTTGGAAGGAAAAGAAGACATGATATGATGATGGTGGTGGGACGAGAACGCCAAACAGTGTAGTAGTAGCAGCCGTGAAAACCTCTCGGCCGAACAAATCTATGAACCGGTGCCATGCCCCGATAACGAAAAGGAATTAAACAAATGTTCATCGTAATCTCATTGAGAGTTGTTGGTGGTATGTGCAGATGCGTGTCACCCTCCTCCTTCACGCCGATGCGTGATGTTGCCTACTCCTCCACATATGCTGGATGCTAGATGCTGCTTCGATGCTACTCAGACGTCGTTTTGCTCGTTATTCTTGTTGCTCTTCGGGTTCGTCCAACTCTATTTCCGGCCCTTGAGCTGAAGGCTGACCTGAACCCTACCAAGGTCCAACGCGAACAGGGGAACCGTAGTTGCCTGCCATCAACTGATCGAGAATTGACCCTTGGTTGTTTGTTGTGTTCTGTGCTCCGCCACTCGGTCCTCCACCAACCCATCCCAGATTTACCGTCATAGACGAGATT